GATCTCCCCACTGTACATGTACATGTACATGTTTTTGGATCCTCAGTATTTATGTTATCTGGTGCATGGTCCACAGTACCTATGTACTCAGTTACCCAGTACTTATGTTTCCTGGCATGTTCCCTCGTACCCATGTACCTGGTCACTCCATACTTATGTAACACTGGTACCTATATTTCCCAGTAAATGTTCCCCAGTATGCATATTCCCATGTATCTAAGTTTCAGATTCCTTGATCTCTATGTTTACCAGTACCTATGTTCCCTGGTACTCCTGTTCCCCAGTATATGTTCCCCAGTACCTATGTTCCCTGGTACTCTTGTTCCTTGATATATGTTCCCCAGTACCTATGTTCCCTGGTACTCCTGTTCTGCAGTACCTATGTTCCCTAGTACTCCTGTTCCCCAATATATGTCCCCCAGTACCTTATGTAACACCAATACCTATATTTCCCAGTATACTATGTTTCCCGGTATGTATGATCCAACGTAACTACGTTCCCAATTCCCTGGTGTCTATGTTCCCTGGTATGTTCCCCAGTACTTATGTTCCCAATTCCCTGGTCTTAACCAGTCCTGGTATTCCCCAGTATATTTTCCCCATTACTTATGTTCCCCAAAACCTGTTCTCCCGGTGTTAATAGTGAAAGTCATGAAAGATGCGTGGCTCACACTTCAAATGTTTTTAATGCAAACTTTAAAAAACTTAAAAACAGTGGAGGCATTGTACCAGAGAACATACAGTAGGTACGCTCACTCCCAAGATGTTCCCAGGCCAGAGAGGATAATCCCACCAGTGAGTTCTTAGTTTCTTCACCCTGACTAGAAACATGAAAACACTAAAAACTTATCTGCTTGACTAAACTAGTAGCAAAAAACTTAAAAAAGAAAAACAGGGATATGCAGAAAACTCCACTTTTTAAAAATCCTTATGTTGCGACTAACTCAAAAGGACGATTTCACCCTTACATCTAAAAATCTAAAATACAATAGCTCTCGACTTTAATGGCATCAGTTTCTCTCAAACCAAACTTAAAGACAAAAACATCCAAACAAGGAGGTCCTCATGAAAACAAACGGTAAATACCAAATGTGACCGAGGTTCTCCAAACACCTCCAGATGTTAAACCCTCCGACAGTTCATCCTGTTCCTGATGATGATGATGATGATGACCTGTTCCCTGAGGTGAACAGAAATAACTAATCACTGTGTTTTCTTAGCCAAAGAAGACAATGAAAATAACTTTTATTGCTTGGTTGTCTGTTGTAATGTCTTGTTTTATTTATTCCTAGAAAAGATTTGTGCTTGGTAAGTGAATTTTAACTACAGTTTTGGTGCATTTGTGTATTTTTGTGGGTTGTATAAAGCGATTAATTACAATACGTATAAAAACACATTGAACCTGAATGCATCGCTGAAGCTTTATCTCGTGTGAACTTTGACTCTTGTAGATTCTCTGGGCCAGTCATGTTGTTTTTAATACGTATTTCAGTGCAAGCCTTTACGTCATCTTTCTTTCTGCACATTTCCTGAAACATATTCTGGATGAAACTCCTGAAAATTGATATCTGGGGGGGG